CTCATACTATATAAATTTACAGCCTCCCAAGATTACCTCACTGCAAAGTTTGTTGCCAAAGGCAATAATTATTTGTTATAATAGTTTACAAAAACAAGCCGAAGAGGGTAAAACGTATGTAACTAAGTTTGATAATACGTATTGCGCAGTACCTGCAGGTATGTGACGTTATTTTAATTGCATTGGATTGACGAAACTTTTTTCTTGTAGTACAACTTCTGTTATAATGTTTCTGTTTTATATATTAGTTACCAACAAATTTAAAGTTTTTAGGTGTCACCGGAGAAGAGGAATCAGTAATCATATGTTACTCATACTGAGAAAATAATTTTGAGTTATTAAAATAAAGATATTAAAAATGTTCCTGAAGAACCAGAGTAATTAATTTACCTACAAGACAGTGAGGAGGAAGATACATCTTCCTCCTCACTAAAGAAGAAATGGATAGTTCCTAATAGAAATTAAAATTTGTTACATTCAACGTTTATACTCACATTTAGTTATTAAATAATGTAGTTTATGTTTAATTGCTTACGTTTCATGTTAGTGTTTTGTATTTTGGAAAATACATTTTCTTTATTTGATGTATCAGCAACCTCCGGTTTGTTGGGGCGTCAGCCGCTACTGATATAAAGCTACCATTGTTCGTGATATTTCGAGCACACTTTGAACTTCGCTTCCCTGTAATAGCTTGCGTTTGTACATGCCTTTATGGATTTGGATTGGAAAGTAGTGAGTAGTCAGAAGTTGCTCGATCTCGCTGGAGAGCGAGGCTTACAGGGGGGCGCGTAGCTCGTGCGGGCGCAGTTTGACACGCGTGATGTAAGCTTTCACGCCCGGCGTCAACATCGATAATGCTTACTGGGTCGGCTGTGGCTGACATGCGGCTGATGCTTACTGAAAATAAGTTTTTTCAGACGTATCGTCTGCACCTGGGTAAGTTATCTTCAATGTCTGTGAGGGAAGATGTTGTAATACCCTCCTTGTCCACTCGCGGCTCCCTAGTTATCATATTACTTATTGCAAAGTTACGATGTAAGATAGTTGGGTTAAGTTAGATGTTTGTCAAAAAATCACCAATATCATACGGCCAGTTTCATTCTCTTTGTGTAAGCATTTTCAAATCAACGGCATGTCTCCGACCATATCCTTAGGATTGTCAGGTTGTAACCATGTTATTACCTTGTATTCGAAACCTTTTGCTTTTCGGTCTTTTTATGAGAGGTGTAAACGCTAGCATAATCGTATATAGTTCACAAAAACTATTTAACACGATAAAGAAGTTTTAAACTAGAGACATGAGAGAAACTGTAATTATACTAAGGCCATTCTAAAAGTACTAGCAAATTAATAAAGCTTTTTGTAAATAAGAGCCGACTAAAATGAGGCATAGATTTTGTCCTAAAAGGCCTTTGGAGGAGGGAAAGAAAGAAACGAATTTCTTTTGAGATCAATTCTGAAAGTTATAAATCGGAAACGTGAGTCAAACATTTGCGAAGTCATTAGGATCAATTTCGATAGCAGAGGCATAGCTAGGCTCTCTGTGATAGTGTGTCACAAGCTAAGGAATGCCCGGCAATACCTTAATATACTTCTTTTCCTGTTTTAAAAGGACCTAAACAGTGTTCACAGGGTAAAATGAATTGAAAATATTATTGCCCTCACTTTTCCAATTCCCCTCACTGACACACTGGACTTGGATCGTCCTAAAATGAAGCATTTCTACGAAATGTTATTGGTGACAATTTTTCAACGATTGTATTCTTTCGTTTGAAATGAGCCTAGTTGACGAAATGGAGAAAAGATTTTTATTTATTTTTATGACATAGATATTACAGACCCACTTTACAGAACTGTTATAAACACATTAATCAACACATAGGGCAGACTGTTATAGAGCTATTTTTACATACGGGGAGTGTGTCTCCTCTGCGAGTCTCTTCAATCATCCAGCATTACATATTTTTTCTTTATTTTCAGTTAAATGAACAATTTTCGGCTCTCTGAGTGCAGGAAGGTGAGAGGATAAATGAAAGCCAGACAACACGGGCAGTAGTTTCACAGCTACGCTGCATTTATTGTTTACTCAGAGCGTACAGAACAAAG